ACTCTCCACTTGTTCCAAACCTGTATGAATTTCTTTCTTCTGTTGAACACAAAAGAAGATATTTTGAAGAAGTTGACGGTAGCCATTGACTTCCATAGTATGGAAAAAAAAAATACTATGGAAGTCAATAACAACCATCAACTGTTTAGCTACCAACATTCTCCAAAATAACTTATTTTGTGTTCAGCAGAAGAAAGAAGCTCATCAAGGATTGGAACAAGCGGAGGGTGAATAAATGATGACATAATTTTTCATTTTTGGGCAAACTGTCCCTTTAATGTGTCATTCTATCTTTATAAGGATGCACAAGCCAGCTATGATGTCAACAGCAACGATTCCGATCCAACACCACGTTATGATGCAACCAATGAAAATAAGTTAGTTAATTTCCACTGTGACTCAGTCTTACTTCCCTTTCACTTAGTCTCCACATATTTTGAATTTAAATACATTTTAAAAAATTAAGTGCTCTAGACAAAAATTACGTCTTCCATTTCTTTGTGATTTCACGTATAAGACATGGGACAAGATGTGCTGGTGTGGTGGCTGCCTCTGCGAACAATTCCCTCTGCATTGTCGGAATTGCCTACAATGCAAAAATTGGTGGTGAGTTATCGGAAGTGTTTGTTTATGTTTGTATACATATGTCTCTATGGCTATGTTTTGTAGACTATATATTGCCTATATGATTTACGCAACAATAATCATTTAGTACTGGTAGTATGTAATATGGTATTCGAAACAGCCTGTTATTGATATTTATGAAGCTGTGTTTCCCAATCGCTCCTCCCTGCACATGTAGGTGTGCGTATGCTGGATGGCGATATGACTGATATGGTGGAAGCCCAATCCCTGAGTCTGAAACAGCAGTATATTGACATCTACAGCTCCAGTTGGGGTCCAGATGATGATGGCAAAACAGTAGATGGCCCCGGCCCTCTTGCCCTGCTCGCTCTGGAGAAGGGCATTCGCAAAGTTAGTGTGTGTTTGAACAGTATAGGGCAGTATAGGGCAGACCAGACCCTTCAAGACCCAAAGACCAATAGTAGACTCTCTACACCAGCTGTGGAAAGTAACAACATATTTTTTTACTATTGCACTTAAAGCTAAACTATGTAACATTTGGCCACTGGAGTTTATATGCAGAGGTTATTTGCAGAGGAACATTGTTTTGGTAATTGCAGTTGGTAATGAGTTGTGTGTACATGGATGAATCATGGCTAAAAAAAAATTGCTTAAATAGTATTTTTGCTTGACACCAGAGTGTTAATAGTTTTTTTATTTTATCGTAATATACGTATATATATATTCCTCTTTGCGTCTCAGGGCAGAAAGGGCCGTGGCTCCATCTTTGTGTGGGCATCAGGAAATGGTGGGCAGAGTCAAGACCACTGCTCATGTGATGGTTACACCAACAGCATTTACACCATCTCAGTGGGCAGCACCACTCAGAGTGGCCGAAAGCCGTGGTACCTGGAAGAGTGCTCCTCTACTCTGGCCACCACTTACAGCAGTGGAGACAATCACAGCTTAGGCGTTGTGAGTCAATCATTGTGTATTTGTTTGATACTTTGTCTAAAATTGTTCGTTTTTCCTCATTGGTTCCATGCATATGTGGGTTTTCAGGTGACAACAGATTTGAGGCAGCGTTGCACTGATGAGCACTCTGGCACTTCAGCATCAGCCCCTATGGCTGCAGGAATCATCGCCCTCACGTTGGAGGCAAAGTAAGCAGTCATGGTTTATGCTCCGCCTGTTAGATGGAGTCCTCTATCTGTTAGATCTGGCAAGTGCTTTGTGGTCAAATCAAATGCGGCGATCTTAAGCCTAAACGTCTGCCAACTGGCAAGAGTAAAACACATATCTTGGATCACCTCATTGCAGAACTTTAACTCTTTCCATTGGTTCAGATTCGGTCAGAGCTGAATTCTGCCATCATTGCTCATGGGATCTGTTTCACATACAGGTTTATTGAGCCAATTACGCTGTAGGATAAAATATTTACTGTTATCCCTGTTGAGCATTTGATGAATAAACTAATTTCTTTGTTCTTCATCCTCAGTCCAGCTCTGACCTGGAGGGACGTTCAGCACATTGTGGTGAAAACTTCACGTCGTGGTCACCTAAGTGCTTCAGACTGGCAGAGAAATGGAGCTGGATATGATGGTAAAATGAGCCTGTTTATTAAACATCATGTATTTAATTTGGCTTAAAAACTAATCACAGCAAAAAAAAATAAAAAATCCAGCATCCTTTGAGAAAAAAAAAATCTTCAAAAATCATAAAAATAAAAAACTTTATTCAGATTTATTCAAGGTTTTTAGCCACAGTAGGTTGCTTGGAAAGACATGTATTTTATACACAGCCATTTTTAATGGCCTTCGATTGAGAAAAATAGTTTTGGAACTGGATGGTGTAGTTACAGCATCTGCCAGAGGGGGCTGAACAGCATACTTTTAGTATGTGGTACATACTTTAAAAACATAGTGTGTGAGATGAGATGCAGTCATTAATCACTGAGCATGCAATTGCATGGAAGATAAAGCATGCTTTCATTGGCAGTGTGTAATGAACTGTGTCATCATTGGCTGTTGTGTAGTTAGTCACCTTTATGGGTTTGGCTTGATGGATGCTGAAGCCATGGTGAAGGAAGCAGAGACCTGGAAGCAGGTGCCTCCTCAACACGTGTGTGAGGAAAACGTAGTCCAGACTGCCAGGTAACTGTTTGCTCATAATCTTGCTCATTATTACCATATTTTTATACCATGGTATTTACATCGTCCTCCAAGATACTTAAAAGAATATCATAGTAATGCCATGGTACTTTTTCCTCTCCATTTATGCATCTCAGGATCATCAGTCCAGAGAGGGTGTTGAGGTCAGTGTTTAAGTCCTCAGGCTGCTCTTCTCAGCGTCTGCAGCGGGTGGTCTATCTGGAGCATGTGGTTGTACATGTCACAATCACACATCCTCACCGTGGAGACCTGTCAGTCACACTGACATCACCCTCTGGAACCAGATCTCAGCTTCTCACAAACAGGTACAAATATGCTGAGCCAGCTCAGATGGACTGGAATTAAAATAATAACTGTATTTACTGAAATACAGTACATGATTCACCCTTCAAAGCCTACTATATCATGTTTGATGAAATTTATGAGGCTTTTACATTATTATTTCTTTAGCAAGTAAAAGGCCTTTTAGTGTAATTTCTAAAAAATAAAGAAATTCAGGTAACGGTAAACGTGTCTTTTTGCGTTTAGCATTTTATAAAGTAAATGTAATAGATTTTATATTGTTAGTAATATTTCAAGATGAACACTTACTGGACTGAAGGTTTATTATCCATATATAATTTTTAGAAAAATCATGCTAAAATGTGAGTATCTGTTACGGGGCTGACGAGACATGTAGACTAAGACTAGAACTAGGAACTAGAAACTAACACAGGGGAAAAGGCTCCGTAAAGTAGCTATCACACGATGAGCGATAAGCGCTAAACAATACTCGGCCGTGGGAAGGGATCAGAGTGAGTGTTATATAGGGAATGTGTGATTGATTACAGCTGTGTGCAATCAACTGTGTGTGTGTAATCAGTGCAGTGGATGATGGGAACTGTAGTCCGGGTGAAGTGCAACAGTGGTGTGGTGCAAGAGTCCATAGTAGTGGAAGGGTGACCTCTGGTGGCGAGTAGACGGAAGTTCATGGACTGGATTCGTGACAGAGCCCACCCCCCAAGGAGCGGCTTCCAGACGCTCCAAACACTATACGATCCAGGTGGGCGGTGGAGCGGAGGCGGAA